TTCCACAATAACAGTGAAAGGTGAGGACATTAAGTGCTAATTACTTATTACGAGAATATGCAAGCTTATACAAAGTATCCGCGTAATTATGCATTTTTCAATTTTTAATATTCTCAGCTAATAAATAAATAAAATAATATATTCTTTAAATTTTATGCATATTCTTTAAAATTTTTTAAAAAATATATTGCTCAATATTATAAATACTACAATCACTCGAATTTTAAACATATTCTTCAATTTTTTAACAAAAACATAATGCTCAATCTCATAAATATTACAATTACTTGGTATTCAACTCCTACAATTAGATTAAATACGAAAATAAGCTTAAAAATATTAAATATTTTCTATTTCTTTATCGAATTCTAATTCAAACTCCTCTTCATCCAAGTCATCTTCCGTGTCATCCGATGTAAAATCATTTTCATCAAATTCCCTTATTTCAACTCGAGATTTTCTACTACCTTTTGTAAATGAGAGGATATCATTATTAACTACATCCTCATCATCACAACTTTCAACAATCTAAGATTATTTATTACAAGCATCACTTGTTAGTAAAACTAGAAAAAGACCGAAAGGGGATGCTTGAGCTCAGCGTAAATAGTTTGCATCTCTACGAAAATTTTGTTATAATTTTTTATTTTTTAAATGTCAAAACCCTAAGATTGTTGTATATAATTCATTGGCCTAGATGATTTGGTTTAATTTGATGTTTGTAGGGCTCAATTTCTTTTTTTAAGTTATATGAAAGCTCTTTCTTCTTCTCAAAATTCGAGACAAATTGAAAAAATATTGTTTCATTTTTCATTAAGAGTATAATAGACAATTTAGTACTAAATTTGACCATTTTTGTAAGAGTTATTAAAATTAGACGTTTTTTAGTTGACAAGCAAGGAATTAGACATTTTTGTAAATTTCTTTTTTTTATATATATATAAAATTTAAATGTACAATTTAAATTAAACAAGTTGTAATATGGATATAAAGAGTGCAAATTATCGTCCATAGAAACTATTTTTCCGAGTTTCAATTTAAATAATATTACCCCTTATTTAGCGAAAACAAAATTTCAAGCGAAGTTTTAATTAAAATTAATATTAATTAAGAAAAATAAAACCAATTAAAAGAAAGTGTATATTTTGGGGATTGTGAATAATTTTGATTAAAAGCTCAAATGAGATGGTTAAAGCATTGAGACGTACGATTTCACCTTAGTTATCACATTTAGTCTCACGTCTCTTAAAGTTGTGCTCGGTCGAATTCACTAATTAAATCAATACAACTCTTTCAAATTCAAATGAATCATATTTAGTTAAGTCAACTAACTATATCTCTGGGTGAATTTGACTAAGCTTTAACTATACGCTTTCAATCACCTAGGAATTAAATTAAAGACCACAGCACGGCGTTTTATTCAATCGCCAGTTTTACTAAAATTCACAATTCATGAATTAGTGATCAAATAATTTCAAGCATTAGGAAAAGAAATAAAACCTATATATATCAATTAACTATCAAAGCTTGAGAATTGCAATTAATAGTTTAAATCTAAGTTACAATATTTATTTCAACTAATGAGTTAGTTACTCATCATAAAATAAGAAAAATACAAAAAGTAGTGGAATACATGACCATGTTTAAAGAAAATGAGAAAAAGATGAATGTCTTGCAACAAAAATTTTCCTTCTTCACTCCAGAGTCTTGAAACCCTCTCCTTTAATTATTTCTCCTCCTGCTCTAATTTGACCTTCAATAGGTTTTTTTATATAGTTCTTAATTTGCATTGAACATAGTGTGCACAAAGGGCCAAAATAACCCCAACTAAAACAACAATTGAAAAATATGATGCTTCGGTTGGACTGTGGATGTATCGCGGTCTGCATACCGCAGCTACTATCACAAAAAATCGACCCACTTAGTGATTACTGGTTCACCGCGGTTTGCAAACCGTGGTCTCAATCTTCCATTTATCCTCTTTTTGCATTTTGACACCTACTTTATGTTCTTTATAGGTTTTTGTCCTTATGCGGTTCAAGTTTTCGACATTGATCTTGCAACTCTCCAAAAGCTTTCCCGTTGCTCCCTTGAATTTCCCAAGTCACCTAAGATTGGTCCTCCTCAAATCTTAGTAGTGTGCATATCAGTCCCCAAACTTTCCATAAGTTGGATTCACTCTTGTAACTTGTGACCGTCCTTCAACTATTTGTTTAATGCTTCTTAGCAATCCCGTGCCATCAAGTTAGTCTTCCATTGCTTCAAACCAACTCCAGTAATACTCAAAATCTACATTTTTTCCTCCACCCACCCCGAATTTTGATTTTAATTATGATGATGACGCTAAATTAAGTAAATGTTCGTTCAATTTGCAAATACATATCAAGTTTATAAATTAGGATAAGCTTGTAAAACACCCTTATCAAACACCTCCACACTAATTCATTGCTCGTCCCAAACAAGATTATCTACTCATACACATAAATAATTAAAAAAATTAATTAATTAGATATATTGCCGTATTTGACTCAAGTTTTGAAACTACTCAAATAATTCATAAAAGATTTCTAAAACATGTTACCAAAATTAATTTTTACTTGTTCGATGCTCGACACATGTATGTTTATAGTTAATCCAATCGTCATAAGCTTTTAGATTGATTATATCACAACCCTCATTGATCAATTATTTTCTTCTTTCTGTGTTATATTCGAAAATTATTATGGTCCACCTATGGTCAATCTTCCATGGTAAGAGGTCCAATGACTCCAATTTCGTACCCACGTGTCACGGAATGAACACTCATGCCTTAATCTCGAGGCTTGCGGAAAGGAATGTGTAGGGCTCTAACACTTGGACCAAAAGCTTGATTAGAAGCTTCGAACATGGACGAGCTCATCTTAGTGCAAATTCCAACTAGTCAACCTTAGTGTTATCGACTGTCTTCACATTTAAAAAAAAAAAAAATCCTGGACAAATTTCATGAAAACACAAATATTAATAAACTTTGAAAATGACAACTTAATCGT